TCGCCAACCCTAACCACAGAGTCTGGAATTGTCAAACTGGTCAAAGAGCTGCAGCCACGAAAGGCTCCATCCGCAATTTGAATCACAGAGTCCGGAAGTGTCAAACAGGTCAAAGATTTGCAGCCCCGAAAGGCTTCGCGTCCAATCTTGGTCAAAGAGTTGGGAAAGGTCACGCCCCCAATCTTGCTGCAGTATTTAAAGGCAAACTCTTGAATTTCCGTCATGCCTTCTGGAATGTGTACCATGAAAAGGGCTTGGGAACTGGTCAGATTGTTGCTGGTTAGATTGGGACAGCCAGCATCGTTCTTTCTGGAGCACTCTATTGAGCGGACTGTGAAGCACACTTGCAAAACTGTATCTTCAGAAAGCCCTACTCTCATGACTGTCTCAGCATCATCAATCAGCTTTGTTTCACCGATCATCAATTCGGCCAAGGTCATCTTGTTCATAGACACATCTTTCCATTCTCGCATTCCTTTGAGCTGCCTTTTGAGCTTGCCGATGGTCACGTCCGGAGCTGCTTCAACTATGGGAACATCCCCGCTCATCTGCTGCACTGGAATCTTCAGCATCCCAGCTCAGGAATGTTCAGGAATTTGCATTGCAACCTTTGGCAAGTGAAAGCAAAAGGCTGCAGCCTTTGCAATCATAATGATGGATATTCCTAGATGTTCGAGGTGATTCGTTGCACGTGGAGAATGTGTGTGTGTGTTTTTAAATGACATAATCCTTCATTCTTAGAACACAGAACACCTTTTTGGGAATTGCCTTTGACTGGGTTGCTGCCACAGAGGCATATTTGATCAATCTGTTCAAAGGAATTTCCACCAAATCTACTGCCTACTTACCTCAAACCGACAGAGGTTGAAGAGCCTTATAGATTGTCTCAGTTGGGTACCCTAGGTTATGGTCCTTTTTCAGATCACTTAAATTGGAATGAAGGATGTCAATTCGCACCTACCAGACCTTCACACCATGTGCTTCCCCTCCAAACCTGAACCGCCCCAGAACCGCACCCAAAAAGCAAGTACCGCTTCCAAGAACACCTAAGAACTGCGTCCCAGGATCGCCCCCACGGACCAACGGACGCGCGGTGACAAACCAACCTGCGCCGAAGAGCACAAAGGTGTGGTCCGAAAGATCTAACCACCTGGGACGACTCCAACCTTACCGGCACCAAAAACGACCAGTGACGCGTATGTCATGTATATACCTAGATCTTCCAACTGTGCAAAATTTATGCTGTTCGGTTGATTTAATTGATGAAAAGGCAGAAATTCTGCACAATTGGAAGATCCAGGTATATACCTGCCCCGACGCCCAAAACCAGGACGGGCTCCAAAAACCAGGATCGGTCAACCAGTCTTTTAATGGTCTTGGTCTTGGAGGTCTAGGGTACCTGGACCCGACTTCAAGTACCTTAGAAAATGGGACATGAACCCCAAAAAACAGGTACGAATGTACCCATTTTCCGAGGTACTTTGAGACTCCAGGTATATATACTGTTTTTTCTTGACACGGCAATGTACAAGTCTCCATCCAATCTTTGGGTCAGGATCAAGCAAACAGAATATATTTATATAATCCAAGAATCCGCACCCTCAAACAAAAATAGGTTTTGGTTCGGGTTCGGACCCCTGCTATGGAGGGTCCGAGCCCTGCCATGGACAGCCCAAGGGTTCTTAGGGGTATAAGTGTTTTCTCTTGAAAGGGCCATTGATATTCATGAGAAAATATTGGGCTACTTTAGTACACGACATGGAAAAACAGGGTGAAAAACTCTGATGTGTGTGTATGTGTCCAACTCCGTTTCCAGGAGTCCAGAACTTGTTCAATTCTGCACTTAGCAGGGGCGTGCGGCTCGTCAGACATACCGTACGCAACGGTATGACGGGAGAAGGGTGGACTGATCATCCACACCTGTACCTGCTTTTAAAAAAACTGGTGGAGCTGGCCTCCAACCTGGCGCGATGGCCTCTAATGTACTAGCGATGACCTCCAACTGTGTCGCTTTGTGCGGTTTTGAGTTCTTTCAAACACCCGGGGCAGCACCTGCCCATCGCGCCGGTAGACAGCGCCGGTAGACGGGGCCCGGGGGTTAAAAATGTGAAGAGAAGATCTCCAGGCTTGGGCAGTTTGTTTTGCCCAGACGCGACCCTGGACCCTCACATGGAGGGGTCAGGGTCTCAAAACCCTATGGTTTTGAGGGACCAAGGGCTGTTTGGAGCGTCTGGGTAATTGATAAACAGTTCACATGGAAGGCCACCACAGTCACAGCCTTAGGCTGTTCAGAACATGGATCATAGTGGATCATAGTGGATCAGTAGATCGCCGCAAAGTCTCATGAATATCTGGGTTTCGGATGGTTTCGGGGTACCTCCACCCAAATCCCTAAGAAACAACTGTACTTTCCTTGGGGAGATGGGATGGTTGACTGACCCAAGAGCCGAGCTCGATCGCTCAGATTGGGGCACCATGGCGCCCAGATCGCCCGAAATGAAATGGGGCTGCGCCCAGATCGCCCAAGAGAGGATCGACCTTTAAAGCACCCACTCCTCACTCCTCACTCCGTCAGGTTTGGTTGGTGAACCCCGAATTCAGGGCTCCCCCGGTGCTATGACCGAACTCTTCTGCGCACGCCACTCCGGCCGGTCGATGAGGTTGCACAGGGCAAACGCCGTGTCCAACTCCTGGGGCGACGCCGCCGAGGCCCAAGCGACGCTGAGGCGAATTCCGGACGGCGGGTACACGTCGGAGGCCCGGGTGAAGCGCCTCAGGTGGGTCGGAGGCGCTAGGCGACGCGCTGACGCTACTCCACCGGAAGAATCCACGTTCCACAGGGGCTTTGGGAACCGGGTCTCCTAGGGCCCGTGCCGGAGTCTGGAAATAGAATCGTCGATCAAAGATATTCCCCCTCAAGGCCGCGTGCGTTGGTGATTGACCCAGATCAGGATAAATCAGGAGAAATCAGGAACATCACCTGATGGTTCAAGAGACCTGGCCCATGGTATTTCAGCTCTCAACAAACAGATCTGAGTCTCCTTGCAGCAGGTTTCATGGAGTTCAACCCCTGTTGGGAGTGGAACATGGTCTTTCTCTCAGGGCCAGGACCGTTGCAGTGTTCCAAATCGCCTTCCCAGACCGGTATGGCGCGGTCGACCCGTGCTGCGTGGACCCGAGCTCAAAGGAGACCCGTGGTGGTTGCTCTACTTCCGAGCAACCCAACAGAGCTTGAAGGACCCGAACTAGCCGCTAGCCTATCCCAGTTGGGTACACCCAGTTTACGGTCCATTGTCAGGTCACTGAGTACCTCTCTTGGACCACTGTGAAGGGAGAACAAACACACTACGATGGATGCTCTAGGTCGCTCAAAGTGGATAGATGCAAGCGCCTCTTCAGAGGTCAGTCGGGGAAAACAAGGCCAGTCATCCCTCAGCTCTGAAAGCGACCGAAACTCCACCGAAACGCAGGGGTGTGAGCGCCCGAACCAAACCATACCACCCTCCTGGCCAGGCTGTTAGTTGAGGGTTGGGAAGGACCCTAACAGCAATTGGTGACCTGTCGAGTCGGGTCCTGGTATGTGTTGCGGAACGGGCCCGGATTCTGAGGGCTCTCTTTCGGAATTAACACCGAACCGTCGAACCGTTCGAAGACGACTTGTCGAACCGTCGAAGATGGCTGGGAGTGGAATCCTGGGTTGGAACCGGGTCCGACAGTCTGTCACCGAAAGCGAATGCTAGGCAACTGGAGTCTGTCAGAGCAATCTAGCAATCTCTCTCTCTCTCTCTCTCTCCGCTTCTTGCAGCTTCTGCGTCAATCACACCCCGCTGGAGCCAGGTGTGCAGTTGCAAGTTCAACGCCTCGCCCCGTAGAATGCGGCCTTTGTAAGGCACCTGGCCGCGCGATTCAGCAGCAGCCGCCCAAAGCCACCAAGTCGGATCAATTCCAGCAGAGGTTGAAGAACCCGAACTATCCTATGGGTACTCCTGTAGGGTCCTAGTTCAGGTCACTTAACCTCTGTAGGTATCTCAAAAGCAAATGGCTTGGTCATCGTTGGTTTAGGCGTCCACATGGATCCACCTGAGGAGGTGAAGAAGGAGACACTCTTATGTAGGTGCCAGGAGGGTCCAAGTACCTTCTGAGGCACTGGGATCCCTATAGGGATAAACAAGATCAAGTTGGAAAATTAACCAAGCTTGTAAAAATTAAAATGCGTGTGCTGGTTTTGCTGCATGCTGTTGAACGACAAATCCCTCAACCTTCCAAACACAAAATAATCCTACGATATAATAGTGAGTGCAGGCTCTTGTCCTTCGAGAAAGTACTTTGAGTTTCTGCCTTCTTCTATCCACCTGGGCACGGACTATGGATGAGTTTGGAACATGCATGTCTTCCACCTGATGACTGAATGGAATTTGATATAATGTGATATCTTCTCAAGTGAGACCAAAAAAGACATATTCCAGGAGAGGAAAGAAACATGAAGAAACCCAAGCCATCCGCCCCCAAGGGTTCCAGCCTATTAGGGAAGTCTCTGGTCCAACCCTCCTCCATCGGTCCGCTCGCGGGCGGGAGGTGGAAGGCCTCCAGAACGGAGCCCTCCTTGGAGCCGGTGCCCTGAATCACCACCGACTCAAAGGACTTCTCCTCGGAGTCACGTCCAGCGAGGAAGGAACCGCGCGCGAGGAAGGAACGGGCGCGGGGCCCATTGGGCCCATGCGAGCGAGCGAGCGAGCTGCGCGCGCGACATGGTGTGGTGTCTGGAGGAAGATCAGACACCCAGGAGGAGCACATGGAGAAAGAAGCGGTTCATCCGAAGAGTACGTGTCCATCTGTGAAGGTCTCTTAAACAGAAAACAACCAGCACCAACGGCCAACAGGTCACCAGTTGAAACCTGTGACAGGGCCCTTATTCCCAACCCTCCATGCAACGGAGATCTGTTGGTGGAAGGTGCTGGCACATGTCCCAAGTGGATCATCGGTAGTTCTGAGTCTTTGGAACTGGTGACACCGTGGAGTGTCTGGGATCCCTTTTAGGCACCCGGTGAGCAAACTGTCTGAATCGGATCAATCCGTCCCAGTGCATCCCAAGCAGTTCCCACTAGTAGTAACCCTAGGCTTCCTGGCCCACCATTAATTTAATAGGCTTTACCCAATCAACTAAGGATTTTACAATACAAAAACCAGGTCGTTCCCATTGTTTTAATGGTCTTTGACTCCCAGGGGTAAGGAACCAGGGATTCGGAACCGGTCTATGGTTTTAGTCTTACTGGAACCACTGGGACTCCCAGCTAACTCGTGGTTTGCCTGCATGCCCTGGGCATGATATCAATGAGACATGGCGCCAGCGGGTGCCGTTTGGTGCCCCGGGATGAAACCATGTCACATCCGCTGAAGCGGGGGTCGATTCAACGTCAACCAGCCACTCCCTCCATTGGAACGTCTATAAAAGTCATCTCTTCTTCGTGCTCTTTGGATGAACCCGAGTCACTAACTATGCCCCAACCCAACCCGTGGACGGCTCCTTGAACTTCGCCATCGCCTCCTTCAAGGAGCAACCACCATCGCGGCAGAACTGCATCGAGCTGTGCAAATAATCCAAACCATCGCGCGCGATGCCTCAGAAAATCACTTCCCTAATAATCCGAGTCAAGGCCCTCCATGGCAGGGGTCGGATTGTTGCTCCCATTTTTGCACTCTAAGCACAGAAAGGAAGCACATCGGCCTGACCGTTAGACCGCGTAATTTCCACCCCAGCCACCGAAGTGTCAGCCAGCACCACCACCCAATTGCATGGAAAATACTACCTCGTCAGGGGGGTCGTCCTAGACAATCCCCACGACGAGGGAGAAGTGCTGGAGGTCTTTGGAGTTTGGGGGGGCAACTGAATTCGGAGAAGGAGCTACCTGGAGTCTCCAAAGTACCTTAGAAAATGGCACATGACCCCCACAAAAAAACAGGTATACCTGTACGTACCTACCTGTCCAAGGAGCCGAACCCCCGGCGGCAGCGTGGCGAAGCGCGAAGCTTCGCTTCGTTTCGGCGTCCTTTCTGGTCCTCTCCCCTTTTCTGTCACATCCTCTGCTCTTCCTCTGCCCAGACGCTCCGTTCACAGGCCTTGGGCCCTCAAAACCATAGGGATTTGAGGGTCCGACCCCTGCACATGAGGGTCCAGGAGCGTCTGGGTGTTGTTCTTCTCTCCCAGACACGACACATGGGACTGCCATAGAACCACCTATCAGTTGGGGTGGTGCCAGGGGGGGGGTCAATGTAGGCATGGCAGTCCCATGTGTCGTGTCTGGGTTTCTTGAACAGAGTCCTACAGGGCTCACCGACGCATCCACCGCAGGCCACGCGGCCCAGTGCAACGTCGCTCTTGGAGGCCGCCAGCTGCGTCTGCCGAAGCACATGACGCGCATAGCCAAAGCGCCACTTCTTCTCCTTGAGCACCGCCTGGTCGGTGGTCGTCACTTGGATTTGCTGCTCCCAGGAATTGGGAAACAATCAACAAGATTTCCATTGGAAGGAGAATCACCCCTTCCTGGCGAGGGGAAAAAAGACTCTAAAAGCCGTTTCAGATTTAAAAGAACTGCAGAAAGCCCATGGTGTTGGGATTGAAACCGAGTTTCCTGCAGAATTTACAGTATTCCTTTAAGCAATCCATTGATATCCATTGATACTTGTAATCTGGCCACAGATTCCACTGATGGAACACTTAAACCTTCAAGTCTTCTCTCACATGGTGCAAGTCTTCAGCTACCTCTCGGACACCTGTCGACGGACTCTTCAACAAATTCTACACCACTCGATCTGATCCACAAAGACACCATTTCACACGACTTCAACAATTCACCTTCGCAGCGTTTGCAGTGGAAGACACGGCCCAAAAAAGCCACACCTCGTGAGCCTCCGCGCTGTGCTTCTCCACGGCGGCTGCAAAGGCGCCTCGAAGTATCACGATGCAGACGCGCGGACGAGAGATGGGCGGTGATGTTGCGGTCAAACATGTTGTTATGTTTCCTGCCCTAAGGATCCGAGTTCGGACCCTGCATAGAAGGGGTCGAACCCTGCTGTGAACTACGGGGTTTGTAGCCTCAAAACCCTTGTTTTGTTTCGGGTCCGGATCCTGAGGGTGGAGTGTTTTTCACCAATTGGGGGTGATGTTTAAAGATGTTTAAACAAGACTGTTAGCCACCAACACCCTCCAAGAAGGTCCTCCTCTGATGTCGGGGTCTTGGGGCATACCCACAGGTCTCAATTCGTGAGCTGTGTGTTCTTTGGGCGGTATGAAATCAAGACAGGCAAACGACCATGTCACACCTGGTCGTCATGCCTTGGTCACCTGCCATCCTACCTGGACCATCCTGTCTGGTGGGCAGGAGATCATCCAGCTAGGACTAAGACTGCTAGCTACACACACCTAGGTCCAGGATGACCCAGGTCCCACCCAGGTAGACTGTTGCTGAGAAACATCAACCCCCGCAGATGGAGAAGTGTTCTGGCTTTTCATGGACCCTTTAATGGTCCAACAACATCTCAACCGAGCGTTCGAACAAGTTCGGACCTTCGAGCGAGCAAACATCAGGCAAAAATCAATCAACCTCGGGGTCATGGAGACGGTTCTTAAAAAAGGGACTTCGACCGCACTGTGAAGTTTCTCAAGTCGAAGCACTGTCAAGTTTCTTTGGGCGGTTTCGAATCAAACAGGGACTTGACAGTGTTCTGAGAAACAGTGATTTCGAAGCACTGTGAAGTTTCTCATCATTCGTGTCAGGAAAAACATAACACTCGCATTGGAGAAACAAAAACGGAAGAACCCCCCGCAGGGGACTTTTCTTGTTTGAAGGCACGAAAGGACTTGGCTCTGAAAAAAGAAGAGGCGGCCTTGATTCAGCCCCGTGGTGGAGCGTTTGCCCTCCGCGTCCAGCGGGAAGTCGACACCTGAGATGGAGATGGGGTTTCAGGAATGAAGGGGAGATGGAGATGGAGATCACTGGTGGGTCGCTTGGTTACAGTGGTCCTCAAAACCACCACCCTAAGTGACCCGGATAGGATCCGGACCCTCCAAAAACAGGCCTTAGAGATGTTCGGAGGGCCTTCGACCCCTTGTTTTTGGAGGGTAGAACCCATTTTACCAGCACCCAAACGCTCCGTTCACAGGCCGACTGGGCCCGAACCAAACCATAGGGATTGGTGAGAAGGTCCGGACCCCTCCAAACGATTCGGGTCCGACCCCTGCATAGGTTCGGGTCCATGAGCGTCTGGGCATAACCCAATTCCACCAGCATTGGCATAGACCCCAAGACAGTTGAGTTGGCAAGAATTGTTGTTGTGGGCCGTAGACTGTGGCGAGCTTCTTTTTGCCAAAAGGGACCAGCACCACGGAAAGGATGTCCATGAATAGCCCTACCAGGGGTCAAGGGATGTACCGTTGGGGGACAATAAGGGACGCATCTCATCTCTTTTGGCTCCGTCATCTCTGATTATCTCCATAATTAATGTTTTAAAATTATAAGGGCATTTTGAAGTTTTGTCTAATTGTTTTTGGTAGTTGGCCCACGGCACATAGACGGCCGTGGGCTTTTCTTGCATTTTTGGTGATTTTTCGTTTTCTACAATGCTACGTGTGCGAATGGGGTGGGGTGGGGTGGGGTGAGGCATGTTAACGTTCGGTTGCACTTGCTACGTGAAGTTGATGCTACGTGTGCGAATGGGGTGGGGTGGGGTGGGGTAGGGTGGGGTGGGGCATGTTAACATTCGGTTGCACTTGCTACGTGAAGTTGATGCTACGTGTTCATGCAACCTTTCGAACATTTTAAAGTGTGCGTGTGAGTGCGTGTGTGTGATATAGGTCTTGGGAGCATCCATTGAATTGTGCACAGGTCATTGGAGGACATTTGTTTCGGCATGGATGAAACTTGCTTTCACTGTTCGCTGTTTTATTTTGGCTCGCAGGATGTTGCCCTTTCTGGTGTCGTACACTCTTTCTCTGGCCATTCTTTGTCGTATTGCTCATATCCCCTGCGTATATCAATATTCCGACGCCAAAAAGTAGTTGCGTATAGTGTCGAACATGCTTCGAAGTCACCATTTCGTCTCAGCGAAACTCTGATGTTATCCAAATCTGCATGGAATTCACCATGATTCCAATGATGAAGTGTCTCTCACATCATTCCTCAATGGAAGTACGCATATTTGGACTTGATTACCCCACGACCATCCTTGATTACCCCACGGCCGTCTATGCGCCGTGGACCTAGTTCCAGGTGGTGCAATAGATGTTGGCTGTTTTGGGTGGTGCCAGATTTGAACCGAGCTGGTTGAGCGAGCAATACTGGTTGATTGAGCCAGCGAACTCCTCAAATGAGCTCCTCATCCTGGTCTCCCAGAGGCAAAGGCTAATCGAATGACCTTCATATTAGGGCATATGATTATCCCGCGAATCAAAACGCCCCAGTTGGGACTTGAACACCTCTCAATCTGGAGGGACTATAATCAACAGTCTACCTGGGTCCTCCTGGAGCTGGGTGTGACATTCGAGGACCCAGCCCACTGCGGGTTCCGAGCACCTCCAAACAGGACGATCCAAACAGGATGATCCTGGTCTAAAGCTCCCTGGGGATCCAGTTGTACCTTCTCAGGTTCGGTGGGACTGGGCTGGGTGCCAGGAGGGTCCAGGTGCCGAAACCTGAGGTTCGGTACGACAACGGATCCCTACCAAGAGAGGTGATCTGACCGTAAATAGGACCTTACAAGAGGGTAGCCAACTGGGATAGGCATGGATAGGCTATAGCTATAGGGTCCTTCAACCTCTGTATCCGTTCGGGCCTGATGTTCCGTTCTTCTAAGCTCATCACATTGTCTGCCCCCATCATCACGCCCCGGTCGTTTTTGGATCGCCAGGACCGCATGGATCGGAGATCGATCGACCATCATGTCCGGCGCTTTTGGTGAAATCGATGTCAGGCTCAGAGCGACTTGAAAAAGGAGAACATGGGGAATCCAAGCTGATCAACTGAAGATCTCCAGATTCCAAAAGGACACGGAGACAAAGTACACTCGAAAAATGGGACATGATCCTATCAAAACAGGAATTTATCTATATACTGTACTCGTTTTTCGAGTTAACACATCGACTTCACCCCCTTAATTCACTCGTGGAAATGAGGGCTCTGAGCCACCCACCGGTATTGTCCACCATCGCAGTTGCACTGCCGGACCCGTGGGATGCGTTCCGCGGGAGGACGCGTCCCTCGGGTGAAGCTACCCTGAGGTTCACGTCGTGCACATGCACAATGGGTCTGAGCAATTGACGTCCTAAAAGCACATGGTACATCACGGTACTCTGGGCACTTGACTCTGTAAATCATTGATGAAAGGATCCGGAAGCTGAGTGAAGGAAAATCGCGAGCTCGTTCGAGACATGCGATTTGTGGCCTGTCCAATCCGTATTTGTTCCTCAAAATGGCTGCAGCCACGAGCGACGAGACCTGAGCACGACCGGGAGAGAAGCCACGACCAATCAGTCGTGGGACTGGCAAATACCGATCAGTGGCAGTGCCTTTTTCCGAGGGCTGTGGGTCTACCCTGGGAGTCAAAGACCATTAAAACATGGTTGACCTGGTTTTTGTATTGTAAAATCCTTAGTGGATTGGGTAAAGCCTATTAAATTAATGGTTGTTGGAAGCCTAGGGTCTATCTTGCAGCCCGATCCATCGACTTGTTGTGGGTGGTGCATGCGCATGGCCGAAAGGGTAACAAGATGTCACAATGACATCAACACCCGACGGGTCCCAGTCTGACCCAGGTCCAGCTTGGTCGTGAAGAAACTCATCCAGGAGTCACAAGACGGGGTGGTGTTTAGTGGATAAGCACCCCTAACCTCCATTCAGCACCCCGTCTTGTGACACGACCGCCATCTGGGACTGCCAGTCCGGACTGCCGAGAAAAGGCCAGGGGTGGTTGTTTAGCAGGGGTCTTTCTGGGGCGGCAGTCCTAAGGCAGTTCCATGGAGTGTCTGGGTATAGATGACCAACCAAGACACTCCCTTCACAGCCCAACCGGCCCCTCAAAACCTGTTGAGAACCCCGGGCCCAGACTCCTCTGGGTTCGGGGCCGAACTCGTTCGGGTATACAACATGTCTGCCTTTTGGCTGGTTTTCTATAGCATAGCATAGATGAAAAGGCAAACATTTTGCATAGTTGGAAGGGAAGATCCAGGTATACCCCCAAATACAATAGCCACTAACCATGTATTGGAAACGGTTTCTATCTACTTGGCAATTTGGGGACCATATAGATCGATGTATGCGATCCAGGTATGACCAACACCAGTTTCCATGAGCTTCGACTGACCAGTGGTCCGACCTCTCCATCTTGGGGTCCGACCTTCCACTCACCCCAGATCCGATGTGATGCGGCAACGGGCCCGGATTCTTACCCAGACACGACCGCCATCTGGGACTGGCATAGGACGACCGAGAAAAGGCCAATGTATGGAGCATATGCCAGTCCCAAACAGGTCGTGTCTGGGTTAGGAAAATGCTCAACACATCTCCTGCCTGGGTCCTTTGGGTGGGTGTGGTTGGACTTCCCTTTCTTCAGGTGTCATGTTAAAGACCTGTTCCTTAACTTCTGAAGGTTGGTCACATCCTTTTGGCCAACAACATGTTCATAAGGTAGAATCACGTACATGCAACATTGGAAGGTCGGTCAACATCCTTTCTGCTCGGTACAAAGGACCAGCACATCGGGGCCGGCACCTGGTGGTCGCAGCCCATCAGCCTCGCTATGCGCAACCAGCGATCAGGTTTGGGACCATGAGGTGGAGATTCGCCATCGCGCGACGAACTCATTCGCACGGTTTTCACTCGTGGGCCGTCCGCCAGGTGGCCAAAGTTCGTCGTTTTTTTTGGGTGTGACCCAGACGCTCCGTTCACAGCCCGACCTCAAAAAAACCTGCTTCGGGTCCTGGACCCAGGTCCAACCCCTGCATAGGTTCGGGTCCCGGGTCGCGTCTGGGAGTGTATATTAAGATAGGCCGAGCGAAGTTCGCACTTCATGTCGTTCGAAAAAGAATGGCCAACATTCACCAAATGAGATCAAGAGATCGCGACATATCATGTTTAAATTCCGCGTTTCTGTGTGATTGAAAAACATGTACAGAGCAGTTCCAAAGGAGTGCCTCAACGAACGGAGGATAGGGGTGAGGCGTCCCGGTCACTCGCAAAGTCTCCAAGAGGAGTATTTCGTATGAGACATCCTTCAAAAGTGGTCAAGAACTCTCCAACGGTGGCGCTTCGTGCAAAACTGCTCCAACAAGTTCGTGCATTGATTCTCGGTTGCTACGAGCAACAAGACCTTTAGTGCAAAAGAGTTTTCTCAAATGTCTCGAGCAAGTTGCCCTCCTTCATGGAGTGCAACTTGTAGGCAAGCTCCCTTACGTAGCTATTTCCTTAGCTCCCTTGCTACTTAGCCAGAACACAAGCTTCCAAGCTCCTGCCACTACTGCGGAACCCGCAGAACCCGGCTGGCACATCGCCACGGTTCGTTCACAGTTCATCATCCCAGCGGTGGATCGACCGCTCGGTCGATCGCCGGAGTCAGGATCGGTCCCCAGAGAAGGGTGGGGTAGAAGAAGGGATTGAACGAGCCATGTGAAAGCTCAGAATCCCTCTAGCCCGTGCCGTGCGGACCTTCTCCACCGAAGGGTACGCAGGGTCCGGACACATGTCTACTCATTCGTAGGGAGCTATGTTTCAATTTGGTTCTACTGAGCTCCGTCACCACACGTCTACCCCCAAATACCCGTCTACATGACCTCTCTGGGACTGCGACGGACTGCCGCCCCAGAGGTCGACCCCTGCGAAACCACCCCGGGCCTTTTCTCAGGCAGTCCCAGACAGGCGCTGGTTTCAACGTCCACACGCTTCTCCGTCTGCCGAGGCCGTTAGAGGCCGCACGCGCCGAACCGCGCCGCACGCGCCGAACCGCCGCGCGGCCAACGGCTCGGGTGGCCCGGACGGTGACCTTCGGCCTGAGTGTCAGTGGCAGAGGCGGCAGAAGAGTGGTCAGTGCGACGCTGCGAGTGTCAGTGCGTGTTTTTGATCTGGACGAAAGGAACGCGAGGTGAAACAAAAGAAAAACTACATGCAGGATTCCAACATCTTCTTATACCATGATTTGAATCGCCAGGTCATCCCGAAGAAGTTTTACGAAGGATTTTACACCACAACCTCAGGTCCTTCCCATGTTTGGTCTTGGAAGGCGAGAAAATGGGAAAAAAAAGAAGGATCCAACACCTCGAATGCGATGAGAACCCCTGGGTTTTCTGGGAGATCCGACATGATCCGACCGTCAATGACCATGTGCGCTCGATTTGGTGGTCGTTGACGGATGAGGGTTTTGGTGCGTCGTCCCCTGAAAAGGCTCTGAGGGGCCTTAGGGTCGAAGTATCACGTGGTTTGAACACCCAGAAACAAGATGGAGAGACCAACAGAGACCATCTTGAGAACCTGCAAAAAGACGATCCCAGCTGGGTATACCCCAGGTTTATGGTCCTTCTCAGGTCACCAAGAAAAACCTCTCTTGGGAAGTCCAAACGTTCCGGGGTATCGAATCCATTTCGGGACGGGTGAGGGTCTAGTCTTTCCTGGGCAGCTTTGGTGAAGGATTGAAGCTCTCCCCAGCACCCCAGCTGGCCAGATGCTCCAAATGGACCCTAACGCTCACACGAAACGCCTCTCTGCTCACGGACCAGGCCGACTCCAGGCTGGCCTGGGTTCCCTTGTGAGAAACGTGAGACGACGGTGCGATCGGAGGTGCGACCATATGGCCTTCGGTGCGATCCACCGTTGATCCGTTGCAATGGCCCTGCCGGATCTCCCGAACCGCGCGGTTGGCGCTCACCCCTTTGCCACGATCGACAATGCCAAGAGAGGTGATCTGACCGTAAATAGGACCTTACAAGAGGGTAGCCAACTGGGATAGGCTAGTTCGGGTCCTTCAACCTCTGTGGGTGTAGCCATGTTTCACGCTTCAAAGCGACCTGTCAATTCTTTCCCAGACAAAACCGCCATCTGGGACTGCCAGTCCGGACTGCCGAGAAAAGGCCTGGCCAGGGGTGGTTGTTAGTAGGGGACCTTGCAGTCCGACGGCAGTCCATCCTAGCAGTCCCAGATGGCGGTCGTGTCTTTTCTTTTGATCATCTGGACCTTCAAGTGATCACTTCAAGGGCCTGTCACATTCGGTGGACTGGACTCTCCGACACCTCCAGGCCCTTCACGGACCGGTCCCATGTGAAGAGCTCCGTCCTCGGAACCCGTGCGGACTCGTCCGCGGTGCGCCACCGAGGCCTTGAGGACCGCGAAGGGCTGCGACCGCGAAGGGGTTGATGCATAGCCAAGAGAGGTAGCCAGCGACCTTATAGCACCTTGCTCGGGTACCTATGGGATAGGCTATAAGGTCCTTCAACCTCTGTTGGTGATGCATATACTTACGGACTGAAACTTAGAATGCCTTTTCAAGTCCCAAAATTTCATCGCGCACACTTAGAATGCGCCTCCAAAAATGTACACTTAGAATGCTACGGCCCTATCCCCATATAATATGAAAAGGCTATCCAAGTTTCAGTCCAGCAAGAATTCAGTCTCAAGATATCAATTACCTTTGTAAAAGTGAAGATTACCAAGGATGTTAATATAGATTTGTTCATAGCTATATACACATGTCATCATATATCCACATACATTTTCTGGAGTTGGATCCACATCCACATGACATACTCCCAACCGACCGACCGACCGACAGCAACCACCCAGCCAGCCAGCCCACGGAATGGGCTAAGTTGCCTCGCGCTTCACATCAGTTCTTTTTGACCACGCCGGTGCACATGTTGTATGTATCTGTATATGCACGGTCGGTTTCCCCGGCCCCATTGGATATCCTGGCTCAGCCATAAAAACCGAGCAACCCCTGATTTCGGGCGAT